AAAAAAAATCACCCCAGGCTGGTCATGCTGTCCCCTTTGGCCCCAGTTTTCACCTGCCAATCAGCTGAGCATTATCATGCGGGGGCTTCAATCAGCTGGAGGTCTCCCGCCATGAGTGGGCAAATGGGAATCCCTCGCATATGCCTAAAAGACTGGTGCCCGCCCGTGGAGCAGGTGTCGGCATTTGCCTGCCCCCCCCCCCATCTTCTTGGATGAAGCACGGGTGGGGTGAGCCAATCATGGCTCAGCACAGGAGCGCTGGCCAATCAAGGGCGGGCTTGCTGGACAGACCTGGTGGCAGCTGCCCTCCATTCACAGACCAGCACGAGCTCCACACCCACCCACCCACCCACCCTCTTCTGGACCATGTGGGATTAGCTGGTCGCTGTTTTGGGAGGCTGAGCAGGATTTTTAGGCCTCACTCAAATTGGCCAGGGGGCCCCTATTTTTCACCTGAGGCTTAAGTAGGCCTGGCAAAGCTGGGTAGGCCCTAACTGGGAAAGTGGGAAAAACATGGGTTGAGGGGATTCTGAACTGGCAAGCACCCTGAGATATCAGCGATGGGGGGGGGGTGCCTATTGGCTTTGCGGTCAGGGTGACTCAGTTGGGGACCTCTTCACGGGGTGGGGGGAGTATATGACGAGCCTTAAGGCTTTGCATCTGTGGGCTGGAATGTGCCCTCCCTCCCCTCTACACCCTGACATGTGGGCCGTGAAGAGTAAGGTCCAGATGGATCCAAGACCTGGCTTTGAGCCAGGGGGGGTTGCCCTATGAGAAGGCTGGCTTTGCAAGCCCAATGCAACCCATGCTTTAATGTGCTGGTGCAGCTTATGGATAAATAAAATCCCCAGTGTAACCCATAACTTGTGTTGTGTTTCCTTTGAGCAGGCACTTATGGTGGGGCCACGGAGTCTGGTATTCAACAGGGGGAAGAGAGCCCAAGTCCCTCTGGAGATGCAAAGTCCTTGGATGTGCCTTAAAAGTAGCTCTTTGGATCCGACCTTCATGCCTCTTCCAGTAGCTCTGTTTGCCTTTTAATCTTTCAGTCCCCTTTCCAAGGGGAACTCCCTGTTTGTTGGAGGTTGTATTGTTTAGGGAAAGCTGGTGAGAAAGCAGCTGTACATCGGCCCGGGAATGTTCTTCTGTTTTCCATCAGAATGTAAACACAGGAAAGGTCATGACAGTTTTTGCAGATGTAATAGGAAACTTCTCTATACCGTGGGGGAGAGACTTCTCAAAGCACAAAATTATTTTATCTTCCTGGCGGCTTATTGTTCCTATTCAGCTTCTGTCGACTGTTGGGAGTCACCCCTGCCCTGTTTGACCTGTGAATACTTTGCTGTCTTATTGGGGGAGGGAGGGGGGGAGAAGAAGAGAATGGGAACTAGTTCAGCAGACAAGAATGTGAAAGTCAGGAGAGAGAGGTTTGCTGCCATGATGGCAAACTGCGGTGGAGGCACACCTGCAGGCTTAACACAGCAATAACCCTTTGGCAAGCAATCACACAGACCTCTCTCCATGGTACTAGCTGTCGGTTTTGGGGGCCCTTGAGTCCACATCTTGGGAGACATGGCTACTCCTTGCTGTGTGAGGACAGTGCTTTTCTGGAAAAGGCTTTGTCCTACAAAGATCACCCACAGACAACGTCCCAAGCAAGAATTGCAGGATGGTTCAAGGGAATCGTTCAGTGCCCAAAGATGGACAAAGGTCTCTTTTGCACACACATGAACACACACGAAACTGCCTTATCCTACATCAGACCTTTGGTCCGTCAAGGTCAGTACTGTCTACTCAGACCGGCAGCGGCTTTCCAGGGTTTCAGGAGGAGGTCTTTCACATCACCTGTGACCTCATCCCTTCCACTGGAGATGCTGGGGATTGAACCTGGGACCTTCTGCATGCCAAGCAGGTGTTCTACCACTGAGGGCCCCCCCCCTCTCACACACACACCTGCCTTATACTGCATGAGACCCTTGGTCTATCAAGATCAGCATTGTCTAGTTAGACTGGCAGTGGCTCTCCAGGGTCTCAGGCAGAGGTCTCTCACATCACCTGGGACCTGATCCTTCCCTCTAGAGATGCTGAGTATTAAACCTGGGATCTTCTGCATGCCAAGCAGAGGCTCTACCACTGAGCCACAGCCCCTCCCATTCTCATTCTCCAGTATGAGTAAGAAGATCTATGAATTGCTGTTTTTGGAAGGGCCTTTGGCAATTCACAGTTGTGTCTTGGGAGTCCATCGCAGGTACACTTTAATCTGTCAGGATGTTTGCGTGTCTTTAGAAGCTAGGTTCACAGAAGTCATAGCAAGTTAAGAGCTGTGCCTGTCAAGTGACTGTGGATTAGGACTCCTCACATTTGCTTATGTCCCATCCGGTTTTTCTGTCTCTTGCAGTAGCAAAGTGCACCATATAATGGATGAGATGATCACAACAGAAAGGGAATATGTCAGATCCTTGGGCTACATCATCGACAGTTATTTTCCGGAAATGGAAAGGATCGACTTACCTCAGGACTTGCGAGGGAAACGGAACATCATCTTTGGGAATTTAGAAAAACTCTATGATTTCCATTGTCAGTATTTCCTGAAAGAGTTGGAACGCTGTACTGACAACCCTCTGCGGGTCAGCCACTCTATCCTCAGACACGTGTGTCTCATTTTCCAAAGCGAAATGGAAGTATGGTTCTCAGATTCTCGGTACTGAGCACAGCATATAACTTTTCATTTCTTCTTATTCAACTGCCGCCTTCTGATATGTCTCTACATCCTGTTTATACAAAGGATTGTCCAATTCTGCTTTGCAGTGGACTCCCTCCTCTATAGAAACAGGTGCATGTGGTCCATCCCAGGTCAAAAAAGACCCTTACTTTAGCTCTCCATGTTCTGTCTTGCTGGTATTTGTTTTATTTATATAATTCAGGAAGTGGTAGGCAGTGTTCCTTCTAAGCTGAGTTTGTGTGAGCTAGCTCGCAGTTTTTTAGCCTCCGGCTCACACATTTTTGTTTTGGCTCAAGGAGGGTGGCTCCAGAGCAAACTAATTTATGCAGTAGCCAAACCGCTCACTCACAACTTTAATGTCAATAGCTCACAAAGTAGAATTTTTGCTCACAAGACTCCACAGCTTAGAGGGAGCATTGGTGGTAGGCTCTCCTTTGGAGGTTTTTAAGCAGAGGCTAGATGGCCATCTGGCAGCAATGCTGATTCTGTGAATTTAGGCAGATCATGAGAGGGAGGGCAGGGAGGGATGAGTCAGTGCTCAGCTCTCATAGCTGCTCATTACATGCCCAGGGAAGTGCTGGTCACCTCTTTGGGGTCAGGAAGGAGCTTTCCTCCAGGCCAGATTGGCTCAGGGGTGCTGGAGGTTTTTGGCCTTTCTCTGAGCAGAGAGCAGGGCTCACTGGGGGAGGGGGGAGCTATTTGTGAATTTCCTGTGCAAAGGGTCAGACTAGATGACCCTTAAGGTTCCTTCCAACTCTGTGTGTCCCACCCCTAATTTATAGTCAGTCAATCTCTATTATGGCCCAAAGGCCATTCAGAAGCAGGAAAAAACACTAGTATAAAATTAAATACCTACGTAAATTCTCAACATACGTCATTCATCCTAATACATATATAGTGCAGGGGTGTCAAACATATGGCCCGTGGGCCGGAACCAGCCCCTCTAGGGCTCTTATCCAGCCCATGAGTAACTAATTACCTGTATTGCTAGAAGACAGAGGCTGTGCATCATGTCCCTACATACCGTCCCAGTGTTAATGTGTTAACAGGCAGTGGAAGTGGGGGGGCGGGCATCAGGGAGATACTGTAAGGAAATACTGTAAGAAGGTTTATGTTTTAAGCATGTTTGTATTTTGAGTAAAAAATAATATTGTTACCTGAGTTTGCATGTGTCCTTTATAAAGTTTATATCTCCAGTATCTGACATTACATTTTATGGCACACATGGCCTGGCCCGTGAGTGACATTTGTGTCAGATCCGGCCCTCGTAACAAATGAGTTCAATACTTCTGGTTTAAGGGTTAGAATCCTAGTAGATTTACAGGACATTCTCTTGTCCAGTGTCTTCATTGCAGAGAAGAGAAATTTAGAGCCACAGATAAAATAGCTCTTTATTTGTGGTCTGTGTTTTTTCAGTAAGGCTCAAAGTTGATTACACAGTCTTAATCTGTGCAATCAATGGGCTGATAAATCTAATATGTAATGTAATGGGACTCGAAACTGTAGAAATTTGAGAGGGCTGTCGTCTGAAGAAAGCATAAGTACTAAAGGTGACATGTTAAACAATGCAGAAATAGTATTACATCAGTAGAAACAGAGCGCATTTTCCTTTTTAAAGAATTTCCCCTGAACAATTCTGTTTTACATAGTTCATGAAACGCCCTGGGCATGGGAGTCCTGGTGGCCTCCTTGGGCAGGGCGTTCCATAAGGTGGGGGGCCGGAACAGAAAAATGCTCTGATGGGTGACGTTGTCATAGCAGGACACAGATGGGGAGGCGGCCTTGCAGGAAAGCCATTCAAGTAGAAGCACCGTTGGCCCACTCCCCTCTTCATCTGTGACAAAGGAGCAGCCTTCTCTGGCTATAGAGTTTGTCACAATGGCCACCTGTCCTACAAGCAGGGCCAGCTCTCTACCCAAGTGACTGTTTAGGGCAGTATGATGAGGGAGATGCTGATGTAATTAAGAGAGGAATTCACTGCCACAGGAAGTGGTGGAGGCTACAAGCACAGACAGCTTCAAGAGAGGATTGGATAATATGGAGCAGAGGTCCATCAGTGGCTATTAGCCGCAAGCTGTAGATGCAACACTCTGTCTGGGGCAGGGATGCTCTGTATTCTTGGTGCTTGGGGGGCCACAGTGGGAGGGCTTCTGGAGTTCTGGCCCCCCTGGTAGACCTCCTGATGGCACCTGGGTTTTGGCCACTGTGTGACACTGAGTGTTCGACCAGATGGGCCACTGGCCTGATCCAACATGGCTTCTCTCATGTTCTTATGATGTACCACAGGGGCGCAGTTTGCTCCCAGTTGTCAGTGACATGAGGGGTGACGGGGCCTACGTGACTCCCAGCCAGACTCAAGCTAAGACCTTGTGGCAAAAAACCCTTGTGCCAAAAGGGGGTTGACTTGGATGTGGGAAGTCGTGGTGAAGGCCCAAGAGAGGATGTTTGTACCTTGTTTGGGGCAACAGAACACCTCGAACTGGACCTGCCAACCAAAATACACCTCACCGCATCACCCCAGCAACCTTTCCTGCCCATTAAAAGCCAAGATGGCCACCTGCGATTAGCCTTATTTATGTCCAGGAAGGGATCGGTGGGGCACTAAGATACCTGTGCATGCTCTTGTCTGGGGATTATTTTAATATTCTGCTTCCCACAGTTTTTTTAATTAGTTCTAATGGCTTGTAGATCACAAGGCAGATCTGGAGAAAACCCTCCTTTCCCCTCACGCACAAAATTCTTAGCTTCTTCTGGCGGGAACTGTGAATATAAATACCTGTTTGGAGTCAACCTGGCTCTTCAGTATATCTCCTTGTCCCCATTGGTCTTTCTATACTGCCTGCTGCTGCTCCGCATTTCCTAAAGGATTTCATTCCATTTGTATCCTGTCCAGCTTCTTCTGCTTGACTGTTTGCAAATGACAGGAACTTCAGGGACATTAATATCGCTTCGAGGGGAAAAGGGAGCAGAAGAGAAGTTAAGGCAAACTTTTCTGTACTATCCAAAGGCATTTCTGGAAATAAGAGGCACTGTCCAGTGATCGTTCAGCATGTGAAGACGGCTGAACCTTGTCGAGATGTGCTTGAAGTTCCTCAGCTGAATCAGTGGGGGTGTAAAGATACTCTGTTTGGCTGGAAGGTGCCTGGGATTCGCCTTTCTTAACCCACTAAAAGGCTTGTTTGGTTAGGTCTATATTCTACCCATAAAGCACAGGCTTGGGGGGGGGGTTAATCGAGAAGATTTTATGTGCTCTCGCCTGGTTGACACAGCTGTGATTTTTGTTCTGCCGTCTAGAGCGGAAGGGGTTGGCATTTTATTGCTTCTCTAGTATTCAGAGGTGTTGTAAAGATGAATTGATGCTCATGAAGTGCTTGTAGACATTCTGCCTGTCGTCTGTCCCCCCCCCCCCCCGCGGCGCGCACATCTGCTTCTTAGAACAGCTGGATTCAAGTCCGATGGCACCTTAGAGACCAACAAGATTTTTGGGGCACGGGCTTTCGAGAGTCAAAGCTTCCTTCGTCAGACCCTTGAACATTTATACCTCACAAAATCTTGTTAGTCTCTGTTACGCTTTTGACTTCGGAGGGGTTAGAAAGGGAGATCTCACTCTCCTTTCCTTTTCCTATAACTTTGACTGATTTCCCACAGCCGCTGCTCTGCGCTCACTCCTCTCTTTGCCCCGATGGTACATGTCAGTTTCCCACTCGAAGCCGTGTGGCCGCATTTTGACCTGCGGCTTCGCCCAATTTCCCCCGTGGTTTCGTGATCCTGTTTTTTGAGGATTACGAAACCGCGGGCAAAATTGGGCAAAGCTGCGGGCAAAGCTGCCTGAAATCCCCTGACAACTTGCAGTATGCAGGGCAGGTGTGTTTCAAAATATGAGTTCTTTTTTTTATCTTGATTGTAAAATCTCGATCCTTTGGAGCTCTGGATAGGGATAAGTAATTGTGCAGCTACCTGGTTTGATGTTACCTCTGGGTTTCCTTGGAGCATAGGTGGGCTTGCACCTAGATTTTTGAACACGTTCCAGGCTTTCTTACTGGAATGCCTGAAATCCAAGTTTGCAGTTGCTTCAGTCTCATTTTTGTCTCTGTGCAGCATTGAGTTCATGGAGTTGCTCATCTGCTACTTCTGAGTCTTTGCTGTTGAGAAAAATTTGATACAGCCTCTCGCTCCGTTCACTCCAGCTTGGAATATATTCTTTCCAATATCCTCAAGGAATGTGCCTTTTGGCCATAGCTATAATGGCTCCAATTAATCAGCGGTAGTTATTAGGTGTTGGAGGTACCCATCCAAGACACCTATCCAGATTTTCTCTGAAACCTTTCCAATTTGCCCTCTTAAAGTTCCATCGTGGTCTTGGAAAAGACCTGATAACTGGTATTTGGATTCCTAGCTTCAGGATTACAGGTTGATTTTGACTGTGTGGGAAAGCCTCAAGAACACGTCTGGATATAGGCAAGGGTTGACTTCTCTGGTCAGATGAAACAAATGTTAAATCAGCGTTGGACTCTCTGTTCCATGCCACTGATCTGAAGGTGCCTCTGTCTTTAGCATGGAAAACAAGATGCAAGCCATGTTCTTCAGCCCAGTCGACAAGTGCCTCATTGTTCTTATCATTAACCGTGTATCTCCAATGTCCATGATGGCTGTTAAAGTCACTGGCATATACAGAAGGATGAGGGTAGGTTGATAGGAGGTGCAAGTTAGCCAATCCATTCTGAATTCTACTTTTCACTCATATGTACCCTCACACCACCTCACATGCTAAATAATGCAGTTTCCATCCACTTCAGCGACCGTTTGCAAGTAGATTTTGCCATTTCACACAGTAAAACCCAGTTGCAAAGTGCATTGAAAGTGCATAACTTAGTACAATTCACACAGCTACTAGAATTCTGTCTTCATGTCCTTGTGTGAGTCCGACACTCAGGGAGCTGTAAACGCTCTACTATATTCCACTCAGGAACTCTCACTCTTCATATGTTTTTCAACCAAACCAACAGTTCCCTCAGACTTTCTTCTCAAATCCTTTCTCTCCCTCCCCCTTTCACAGAAAAGTGGCTGCTTTTCGGTGGGTGGGTGTGTTCTGAGGCCTGAAATCTGGATTACTTCCCACCCCTGCTAACAGTTCATTTTCTTCTGTCATCACTTGTCATGGAAACCTTTTTGTGGTTGACCCTTACCTGATTTGAAGGAAAAGCCAAGCTCCTGGGTCATTTGTCTAAGAAACTTGAAGTAATAGACATGGCAGCAGTGAGAGATCTCACAGTTATTCAGTCCAGTGCGCAATCTGTGGTGTGGGACACCAGACTCCTTTCATCTAGAGCTCCTGACTGAGCTTTGCCTGAGGCAGTTGTTTGGTTTGTGTTGCCGTGAGACGAGCTGGAGGATTCCAAACCGGAGGAGGCATCCCCGAGGTTCCCTTGCTCTTCCCCATTGTGGTGTCACCAAACTCTACCAATCCCCAGAAGATGGCCACCCGTTTGTCAGACCAGGTTATGCGTTAGCAGTCATTTCTACTAAACATGATTCTGGCTCCCTGGGTTGTGCTGTCATACCCTAACCATTCCAGATTAGTTGCCGCCTTTTCAGATCCTGAACGCTAAAAATACACAGCGTGAGGCCCAAAGCCAGCTAGACCAAGGAGCTTGACATTTTATGGAATGTGGCTAACTGTGGGGGGTCTACTTCAGAAGAAGAAGAAGAGAAGAGATTGGATCTATACCCCGCCCTTCACTACCCAAAGGTGTCTCAGAGCGGCTTACAAACTCCTCTCCCTTCCCCTCCCCACAACAGGCACCCTGTGAGGTAGGCGGGGCTGAGAGAGCTCTTGACAGAAACTGCTCTTTTTCAAGGACAGCTCTGATGGAACTACGGCTTGCCCAAGGTCATCCAGCCAGTCCAAGGTGGAGGAGCAGGGAATCAAACCCGGTTCTCCCAGATTAGAGTCCCCGCACTTAACCACGACACCAAACTGGCTCTCACACCAGTGATTGTTGATTAATTTATGTTATTTTAGCACTTTAAAACAAAAATGTGTATTGCCACGTACAATTTAACACTCCCAACAGAAACCATATCAGCCATAATAAAATAGCCCATAGAATAATTTGGCACATTCTTGAATTTAAAAGAATGCCATTACTCTTCTGTAGGTTGTAAGTTTCACCATTGGATAGTGATGACAATGCAAACATTTTGCATAAAGTAATGCAAATGGACTAATTCGGATGGTTCCTATGCCTCCTGTGTCTGAAACCAGTGGATATACACATGATAATGCCACATCCAGATCTGAGCAAATTCAACCCCCACGTGTGACTGAATCTTAGATTTACAGTGCAATTCTAATCTCTAAGACATTGAAGGCTTAGAGGGATGTAACCCTGTTTGTAGGGTTGCCAGCTCCAGGTTATGAGGTGGAGGAGGGGCTTTTGGAGGTGGAGCCTGGGGAGGGGAGGGGCTTCAATTGGGTATAATTCCAATAGGGTCCATCTTCCAAAGCAGCCAGTTTCTCCAGGAGAACTGAACTCTATCACTTGGAGATCCTAATCCCAAGAGATCCTCAGCCACCGCCTGGAGGTTGGCAACCCTACCTGTTTAGGATTGCATTGGTGACTAAGAACTGTAAATACAGAGTGTACAACATGCCTTGGATCTGGTAAAATTGAACATTATACCACAATGCAAATACCTGCTGGCGTCAGAGGTGGGGGCGGTCATGCTAGGTCAGTGGGGAGCTAGGGCACCTTTCCCATCACATGTACAGCCATGTATCATCTCAACCAATGCTCCCTCTAAGATGTGGAGCCTTGTGAGCAAAAATCCTACTTTGTGAATGACTGTTGTAAGCGAGCGATTTGGGTGCTGCATAAATTAGTTTGCTCTAGAGCCATCTTTCCTGAGCTCAGACAAAAGTGTGTGATCCGGAGGCTAGAAAGCTGTGAGCACACTGATGTCAACCAGATCTGTCAGTTTATGTTGTTGGTTTAATCCACAAGAGTAAACCGTTGCCAGTTGAAGCCACAACATTAAGAAAGCAGACATATATAAAGATGCTAACAACCATCGCTGGTTCTGTGGTAAATTTCAGGTAGACTTTTTCCACATGTGGTCAGCCTGTGTTAGCCAAGAAATTTTGGGAAATGGTGACCATTATGCTGGCAAAAGAGACAGGTTATAACATCACTGGCTCACCTGAACTTCTAAAAAACTGGTTCCTGTAGTTTCTATCCCAAAGCAATTAAGAATGTTTTCTTTATATGCTATAACTTCCCCAAGGTTGGTGTTCACAGAACTTTGGAAATAGAAAAGAATACCAATGCATAAAGGTTTCTGGGATAAAATTAAGGACTTTTATTTATATACAAAATAATCAGCATTACCCCCAAAAAATGAAGATTTCACAAATATTGAACTTATCTGGACACAATCATTAAGCAGTATGGGACAAACAATGTGATAATATTTACTTTCTGGTCTCCATCAAAAATTATACCTGTATTTCTTTTTTTCCCTCTTGCTGCTTCATAATTCTGTTTGCTTCTAAGCTGTCCCAGATTTATATGTTATCATTCTGTTCCAGTCTTCTAAAAATGATTAGGCTTTATCTTATAATACTTCTAAATTCCAATTAAAAATAAGAAAGCAGACATCCATGATAATATACCCTTACCAACAAATGAACCTCACTTTGCATCACTGTTAATTAATGTATGTCGATACCATTTTTCATTATTTCAGGAAGAACAGTTTGGGATGTACGCGTTGTACAGCAAGAACAAGCCGCAGTCGGATGCCTTACTCATAAGCCACGGAAATGCCTTCTTCAAAGTAATTGCCACTGAATGTTGTCTGCTGTGGTGTCTGTAGAATTTGCTGGCCCTTTGAAGGGTTTCATCCCGTATAACATTCTGTAATTTCCCCACAGGATAAGCAACAGGAACTGGGTGATAAAATGGATCTGGCTTCTTATCTGCTGAAACCGATCCAGAGAATGAGTAAATACGCCCTCCTTCTGAAGGATCTGATCAAGGAGTGCTCAGCAGCACAAGAGCAGGAGCTCAGCGCCCTCCGTGCCGCGGAGGAAATGGTCAAGTTTCAGCTTCGCCATGGCAATGATCTGCTTGCTATGGATGCCATCAGAGGATGTGATGTAAGAGCAGCCGGATTCCACTTCCTGTCAGGCATTTCAGGCACTTTTTATGTTTGTTTTTTGTTTGGGTTTCTCATAGTAGCCGTGAGCTGTAAGAAAGACGCTAGTTGGAATCTAACCTTGGCTGTGAATGTATTTAGGTGGTCTTAGGCAAAATCATAATGAGAGCCAAAGGGTAAATCCCATTTGTGTTGATTTGGGCTTACTCCCAAGTAAATGTGCATAGGGTTGCAGTAGTGTTGCCCAGCCTTGCAACCAGTGGGAGTAGGCAGGGACATGGAAGGTACAGCCATCTGCAGTGGTGTGTTCTCCCTTCTGGGAAAAGCCCAGAAGTGACATCATGCCCCTCTAGGAATCGCCGGGAACTCTGGTAAAACCATAAAGACTTTCCTTCAGGCTTGCACTGTGAGTTTGTCTAGGTAAAGGTTTCCCTTGCTCAAAAGCCAGTCGAATCCGACTCTAGGGATGTGGTGCTCATCTCTGTTTCCAAGCCAAAGAGCCAGTGCTGTCCAAAGACATTTCTGTGGTCATCTGGCCGGCATGACTAGATGCCGAGGCGTACAGGACGCTGTTACCTTCCCACCAAAGTGGTACCTATTTATCTGCTTGCAATTTCTTACTTTTGAACTGCTAGGTTGGCAGGAGCTGGGGCCAGAGACAGGAGCTCACTCCGTCATGCGGCGCTCGGGTCTCGAGCTGCTGGACTACTGATCTTCCGGGCTGCAGTTCAGCATCTTAACCACTTGAGCCACCACAGCTTGTCTAAGATGCCCTAAATATGTTTGCAGCAAGGTTAGATTCAAACCAGGGTCTGTGGTAAAGCTGTAGAGTCTCTGGTGATTCCTAGAGAGGCACGACATCATTTCCAGGTTTTCTCAGAAGGGGTGGCACACCATTGGCCCAACGGCCAATTTTTTAAAAAAAATCTCTCCCTCCAGCGCTGCGAGGAGCAGCGGGAAATGAGAGGCAGAGATGGGGAGTCCCCCACCCCTGCTGGGGGACTGGGAACCCAAGGCTGATACCTCAGACTAAGCTTCATGTCAGCAGTCAGGTTTGATGTGGCAACAGGAGGCCCAAACCCAGACCACTGTCTGATACACCCACTTGTCAACTAAGAGGCAAATGTGAACGTAGAGAAGGCGGCCGTCACATGCTTCTCAGAAGCACCAGTTGTTGGCCGTGAGTGTATCGATGGTTGAGATAATGGCCCCTTGTCTCCACTTGAAACGGGCTACAAAACCTGTAAAGATGAATTAGGGTTGTTCAGATAGCAAGACTCCAGTACAGCCGCAGGCCTATTGAAACTGGCGTGACCTCTCTCTCTGTGTCTGAAACCGCAAGCAACAACAGCAGGAGCTACGTCTTTCTTCCCTCAGGTCAATCTGAAAGAACAAGGGCAGCTGATGTGTCAAGATGAGTTTATCGTGTGCTGTGGAAGAAAGAAGTATCTGAGGCATGTCTTTCTTTTTGAAGACCTCATCTTGTTCAGCAAGACGAAAAAGATAGATGGCGGATACGACATTTACATGTACAAACAGTCATTCAAGGTAAATTCCTCTCTGGCATGTGTTTGAAAGCCCTGGCGTTAGCATTGCAGGCCTGCGGCCTTGTGTTTTCTCCTGATGAGGAATACTGAAGGCAGAACCCAATCGAACTCACATGCATTGAAGTCCCACTGATTTGCGCCCTCAGCTTCCGCGCCAAATCACCGCCTGTCCATCCTGTCCTTGAAACTTCCGTGAGTTTTAAAAGCATGTTGACAAATGATGTGAATCAGAATTTTTCTTTTGCTGTCGAGTTGTGATTGACTTACGGTGACCCCTCAAGGGGCTTTTAAGGCAAGCGACGTCCACAGGTGGTTTGCCCTTGCCTGCCTCTGCGCAGCCACCCTGGATTCCCTTTCTGGCCTCCCATCCAAATACTATCCTGGGTAGAGATGTGAAGGTCCGGGGAAAAAAACGGAAAAATTCGGGAAAAAAACGTTTTTTCCCTGTTTTTTTCCTGAAACCTTTTTGTTTTTTTCCGAAAAATTGGAAAAATTGAAAAAAGAAAAAAAATGATTATGGAACGTTTTATTTTAACATGATGAATAAAATATTTTAAGACAAGGTGTTCAAATATTTTCCAAATCATTTCTAAAATATATATATATGGTATCAGATTGATCTAATTTCTGTGCACTGAGGACAAGCAAGTCCTAGGTTACAAACTGAACCCTCCAATGCAAGAACAAGATGCATTTCTTCCTTTAGGAGGTGCGATTGTCAGAAGAAAATAAAAAAGTTTCAGTTTTGTTTTTGCATGTGGGTGGGTATTCTGTTTGAAATAATTGTTTGGATACACTATATTTTTAATATGCTAGTTGTGATAATTTCATGCCAAGTAAAAATGTCCATAGTCATATTTTATGTTCCTAAAGTAACAAAATGACTTTCAATCTAGAAAAGACAAAAGAAATGCTAATGTAGCATTTTTTCATTTTTTCCGAAAATTTCCGTTTCCCCCCGAAAAAACCGGAAAAAAACTGGGTTTTTTTCCGAGCTTCAAAATTTCCGGAAATTTTACATCTCTAATTCTGGGTTGACCCTGCTTAGCTTCCAAGATCGGACTGGCCTGATAGACTGTGGAGACATGGGTTCAAATCCTACCTCTGCCATAAAGATAGCAGAGTCGACGTAATAAATAAATGTCTGGGCTAGTCACTCATCATTTTAACTAATATTGTTGTGACTTATGATTCTCTGGTGAAAATTAGTATGTTTACAATTCAATTCAATTCTAAACATACTGATTTTCACCAGAGACTCATAAGTCACAACAATATTATTATTTATACCAGAATTGTTTTTATTTAATATTATACCACAAAACTTTAATGTACATGATATACATGTGCTAGTTTATGTTGTTACTACAGCTAGAATATTATATGCAAAATACTGGGGAAAAGAAGAGACACCTACAAAGGAAGAACTAATTTTCAGACTTTTGGATGCAGCAGAAATGGATAAGTTAACTTTACAATTGCATGGAAAACTAGAAAGTGACTTTGAAACAAAATGGGCAAGGTTTTATAAATGGCTACAAGGTTATTTAGGAGGTTACAAAGCATAAGATGTAGACGGCTTAAAAGAACCTGATTCTTCAGATATATGTGAATCAAAATGTAAGAAAGTATAGTCTCCGGCTTCTGTATTTTCTAGTCTGTTTTCTTTTCGTATCTCTTTTTCAATCTTTACGTCTGAAACTAATAAAATTTCTTTTTAAAAAATCAGTATGTTTATGATTTTTCAGCCGCCACAAGTGATCCATATACAACTCTTTATTTGGCAAGTCTTATAAATTGTCAGGCTGCTAAAACTGCATTCTGAGGGCTTCTTTCCCCCCCTATTGGCCTGTAGACAGCTGAGATTGGAATGACGGAGAACGTCGGAGACAGTGGCCTGAGATTTGAAATCTGGTTCCGAAGGAGAAGGAAATCCCAGGACACTTACATCCTTCAGGCAAATTCAGTGGACACAAAGATTGTGTGGACTAATATCATCGGCAAGATTCTTTGGAGACAAGCCTTGAGGAACCGAGGTATGCAGGTGGCCGAGGTATGCAGGAGAGCTAGTTTGGTGTAGTGGTTAGGTGTGTGGACTCTAATCTGGGAGAACTGGGTTTGATTCCCCACTCATCTGCTTGCACCTGCTGGTTGACCTTGGGCAAGCCCTAGTTCTGATAAGAGCTGTCCTTGAAAAAGAGCAGTTTCCGTCAAGAGCTCTCTCAGCCCCACCCACCTCACAGGGTGTCTGTTGTGGGGAGGGGAAGGGAAAGGAGTTTGTAAACCGCTCTGAGACACCTGGGTAGTGAAGGGCAGGGTATAAATCCAATGTCTTCTCTTCTTCTTCTTCTAATCCACAAGAACCAACGGGAGTCTCAGGCAGTTCTTCTTGAGCTCTGCAACTGGACTTTTATAGGTCTGCCATCAACCCAAATTTCATTTGCGAAGCCCCAGAGAAATAACATGTAAAAGCTAGACTCCATCAGCCGATTTGTTTATTAGAAAATGTCTAGGGCTACTTAACTTGCCAAACAGCACATGGGCAGGTGAGAACATGAAAATCCATTTCACCCGAATCCCAAAGCAAATTCTCACGTGAGCTAACTGAGCCGGTTCGCTGGGAGGGTGGGGTATAAATACGAATAATAAAATAAATAAAATAAACAAACTCCCCTGAAAGACTTTCTCTACAAATACATCACAAAGCCTTATGTACTTTCAAGATGCCTGGCGAACAGCACAGTCTTGAAATACCTGAGGACCCACGTTGAGTGTAGGAGTCCTACTCGCTTCCTGTAGGAGGCCGTTTGTTCGTAAGGCCAGAACCACTACTGAGAAAACTTGCCTGAGCCATGGTGGGCTGGGTAGCATTATAGGTGGGGGCTGACAGGAGAAATTTCTGAGAGGATCTGAGACAGCACACAGCCTCGTCGTGGGAACCTGTTGGAAATGCATGTGTTTACAAGGTCTGACAGTTCAGTCACTATAGGGTTAACTTGTTTGCCTAGTATTGCTGTTGTTTAGACTGACCTGGAAGGGATACCTGGCAGTAAGCCAATGGGGAATTAGCCCGGGAAAAGTAGCTTCTATTGTGATACAGATTGGTTGTTTGTTTCAGGTGACTTCCTTTCTAGGGGTCGAGAAGAAGGACAGATTCTCCATTATCTCTGTGTTAGTGTTGACTATAGGCAGCTTAGAAAATGTAGCTGTTAGTGTTATGTTTGTTTGTAGTTATCCCGTGTACCTTTTACCCTTAGAAATAAAGGTTTTTAAAAGCAAAGAAATCTCTTCTTTCCAATAGAGCAAGATCCATTGATAGTCTGAGTATTAAACACTTTTGACTATTTTACAACAGAACCACCGGTAGGTACCGCTAGTCTCTGTGATTTATCAGGCTGTGTAGCAGCCTCATTTGCTGAGTGTAGGCTGAGTGCACAACAATGCTTCTCAAAGGGGTTGCCACAGATGAGAGGAATAGCCCACCCTGGCACCCTTTAATCTCCCCACCCGTCACCTCTTCAGGCCCCAGGAGGGGAACCGCTTGGCATTTCTCCCTCCCTGGGTCTGTATAAGGAGGATTCCTGCTTCCCCAGGCTCCATCTGTGCACCCTGTAGGGAGCCTGAGCAGCCAGAAGCGACGAAACCCACCCGTTCCCAAGACAAGCCCCCCCCCCGGTCTTCTGCCTCCCTCTGCCGCTCAGTGGGCCAGTGAGAGCAAAAGGCGGAGAAAACCAGTGTTGTGCCGATGCTGCTGTATTGTTTCTGGCATGAACCTGTAAGTGACATCACAACGTTGGTGCGACGCTCTAGGGTTCACCCCAGACTCTCTGGTTTTACCACACAGTTTAAGGTCAATCCGAGAGCGTCACACTGAGATGGTGGTGTCACTTCTAGGTTCCTGTCACAGCACTGCCGCAACCCTGTTTGTTGGGACGCTAGGCCCTGTCTCCCAGGGGTTGCCAGCAATGCTCCTGCTAAGCTGTGGAGTCCTGTGAGCAAAAATGCTACTTTGTGAGCTACGGGCATTAAAGTGGTGAGCGAGCGATTTGGCTGCTGCATAAATTAGTTTGCTCTGGAGCCCTCCTTCCTGAGCGAAGACAAAAACGTGTGATCTGGAGGCTTAAAAACTGTGAGCTATCTCACACTAACTCAGCTTAGAGGGAACCCTGGTTGCCAGCACACTTCCCGAATCTTTCATCTCGGGCTACTCATCACATATTGTGAGATAAAAAAGAAACAGAAAATCCCAAGAGGTCTGGGTCGACTGAGGCACTGAACAATGCAATCTGAGATAGATAAGATACAAAAAGGCCGATAAAAGAAAGCTTGGTTGGGGAGTGAGCAGGAGAGAAGGAATCAGGGGAAGGGAAGATGACCAGTGTTCCCTCTAAACTGAGTTAGTGTGAGCTAGCTCACAGTTTTTTAGCCCCCGGCTCACACTTTTTTGTCTTAGCTCAGGAAGAATGGCTCCAGAGCAAACTAATTTATGCAGTAGCCAAATGGCTCGCTCACAACTTTAATGCCAGTAACTCACAAAGTAGAGTTTTTGCTCATAAGACTCCACAGCTCAGAGGGAGCACTGGAGAAAATATGGTGGTTTCCAAGAGGAGAGATTGGGGAAGAGGATACGAGAGAGCAAGTCCTTGAGAGTTCCCCTCGTGTATATTATTTCTGTCACTTCCCACCTTTCCCTTGAAAAGGAACAGGCAGCCTCAAATCTTGGTTCTTAGAATCATAGAATGTTAGAGTTGGAAGGGACTTTGTAGGTCATCTAGTCCAACCCCCTGCACTCTGCAGGAGCATAGCCTTCTAAGCAAGCCGCCAGCAACTAAAGGCCAGCATTTCTTCCCCCAGCCGTCACCAGCAATACGTGGCCACCGAATCTTTACTGGTGATACCCCTTGGTCACGTCAGGTGTTGGGAGAAAAAGAGAATCTTCCCTAATACCATCATCTTCCTTGGCCTGCTGTGCTGTTTGGATTCCCGTAGCACACAAGCCTTTCCTGCCCGGTAAAAGGAGATCGTTGAGATGACGTCTCTTATGTTTGGTTTGCTTAGAACTCCGAATGCAAGAAATGGTGTCGATGGGCATAGGGAACAAACCGTTCATGGATATCAAGCCCAGTGACGCCGCAATCAGCGACAGAGCCATCGACTACATCATGAAAGGAGCAGGTATGGCTCAGCGTGACTGTCAGGCCCTGGCTCCTCCGGGGCCGTCGCTCGGGGAGTTGGGGTCTCCAGGACATGATTTTGTAGCTGGTAGCGACGGAATGGCAGGCCTCAGGTATAGCTGGGAGAAGGGGGTTAGTCTCACCCTTGTCCCTCTCCCCGGTTCACACGCTCTCAGGGATTCTCTCTAGGCGTCCTGCGTTCCCCTTGAGAGAGGCACGCTCTCCCTCCCTGGCCTGCCCCAGCCACCTGGCCTAAATCAGCCTCCAGTTTGGAGCCAGTCTGGTGCAGTGATTAAGTGCACGGACTCTAATCTGGGAGAACCAGGTTTGATTCCCCACTCCTCCACTTGCACCTGCTGGATGACCTTGGGCAAGCCGTAGTTCTGATGAGTTGTTCTTGAAAAAGAGCAGTTTCTGTCAAGAGCTCTCTCAGCCCCACCTACCTCAGAGGGTGTCTGTTGTGGGGAGGGGAAGGGAAAGGAGATTGTAAGCCGCTCTGAGACTCCGAGTGAAGGGCTGGGTATAAATCCAATCTCCTCCTCCTCCTCTTCTTCTTCTTTGAGAGCCAGTTTGGTGTAGTGGTTAAGTGCGTGGACTCTAATCTGGGAGAACCGGGTTTGATTCCCCACTCCTCCACTTGCACCTGGCTGGATGACCCTGGGCAAGCCGTAGTTCTGATAAGAGCTGTCCTTGAAAAAAGAGTAGTTTCTGTAAAAAGCTCTCTCAGCCCCGTCTACCTCACAAAGTGTCTGTTGTGGGGAGGGAAAGGGAAAGGAGTTTGAAAGCCGCTCGGAGACACCTTTGGGTAGTGAAGGGCAGGGTATAAATCCAATCTCCTCCTCCTCCTCCTCCCCCACTCCTCCTCTTCTTCTTCTTCTTCTTCTTCTTCTTCTTCTTCTTCTTCTTCTTCCTGCCCCCTTCCCCTCTCCCGTCAATCCCCATCTTCCTTCAGAGGAGCAGGTGAGGGGGGTCTACAGCCATACACCTTGAACAGGGCTCCCATTGGACCATCCTCGGCTCCCTTCCCTTAGCATCGGTTGGGGCAGTCGCTTTGCCCAGCCCTGCCTCCTTTGCAAGCTCGGCTCCAGCCTCGTCCCCCTCCGGGTCTTGGTGCCAGCTCCCTGGGTTGTCCCGCAGCTTGAGCAGGGGCGCGGCCCATCTCCTCTCCTCTTCTCATCCAGGTCGCAGGATCACCCATGGCTCTGATGGGCCCTTGTCACCCGCAGCTCCTAGAGCAACAGGGGACACGGCCTGAGTGACGGCAGAGTCTGGGGCAGCAGACCCCGGACAACGACTTACATAAGAACATAAGAACATAAGAGACGCCAATGTTACAGAATCCCAAGTGTTTGTCCTGTGTGCAAAAGACCATTCATGCCACGACAATGCAGCCCCCTCCCCGAGGCGCTTTATAGTAAGCTGCTTCTGCAGGTGTTGGGAATTTCTACAGCCACGGGTGAGGTAGGGTTGTGGGGCTGCGGTTCAAGGGGAAGGGGGAGGTCTGAGGCATTACCCGAGGCCCTGCCACACACCTTCAGTTGGACCCCAGTTGGAGGAACAGACGGTTTCCTTCCCCTTCTCTCGCCCTCCTTCCTTGCACCAGCGATAGAGGTCAAGGTCAAGAAAGAAAGACTGGTCAGCTTGCCCCCTCCCCCATATAAGTGCCTCTTCCAGCTTGTATAGGAATGCACTCTAAGTCTGCGTTCAGGGTGCAGGAAAAAAGCCACCTTTCACACATCTTCACAAAGAAGCCGTGTTGTGCCTCGGTCAGCCCTTCATGAAATTTGGGGGGGAAATCATTAAGGCAGACGTTCCACAGTCAGGAAGTAATAAAGCCTCTCGCAGCTTCCAGAGACCAGAAAAGAAACCCAAAAGTTACGCCAGTGAAACTAGGAGGGGACTGTGGCGCAGTGGCAGAGCGCCTGCTTGGTGTGCGGCAGGTTCAGTACTACTGAGCATCTCCACGGACCAGGGAGGAGGTGATGGGAAAGACCTCTGCCTGAAACCCTGGAGAGCCGCAGCCCATCCGAGTAGACAACACAGACCTGGATGCACTTAATGTTCTGATTCGGGAGAAGGCAGCTTCATTTGTGCTCATGTGCGTTTTATGATACTCTGTTTAACGGCCAGTGTATGGTGGGGGGGGCGCCTGACTTTGCCAAATCTGAGCAGGCGGGGGCTTCCTCAGTTCCGGGCAAGGTGACCGCCTGAGAGTGCCATGGAGCAGCGCAGCTGGGGTAGAAGTGCATCAGGTCCCCCCCCCCCCGGATAAGTAACTTGATGCTGATTACGATGTAGTATTGCACAGTTGCACATGTGAATGCTTTCTTCAGCTTCAGGTGTGGCAGCATACAAGTTTAGCTCCCCGTTTGCCACAGAGCAGGGCAGTGCTGCTGAGAAGTCACTCTACAAAGGACAGGTTCACACACCTGTGTGTATCGCTCGATTCAGGGAGGGGCCGTGGCTCTCTGCTTGGCATGCAGAAGGTCCCAGGTTCAATCCCCGGCACCTTCAGTTAAATAAGGGCCAGGCGGTAGGTGAGGCAAAAGACCTCCACCTGAGACCCCGGAGAGCTGCTGCCAGTCTGAGTGGACACTGCTGACTTTGATGTACCAAGGGTGTAACACAGTTTTATGTGTTCATGTGTGATTACCGCAGCGTGAATCTGTGACTGAACTCCACTGGAAATTAAGAACATAAGAGAACATAAAAGTAGCCAATGTTGGATCAGGCCAATGGCCCATCCAGTCCAACACTCCGTCACACAGGGGCCAAAAATACCAGGGGCCCTCAGGAGGTCCACCCGTGGGGCCAGGACACTAGAAGCCCCCCCACTGTTGCCCCCCAAGCTCCAAGATGACAGAGCATCACTGCCCCGATATAAGAACATAAGAGAAGCCAATGTTGGATCAGGCCAATGGCCCATCCAGTCCAACACTCCGTCACACAGGGGCCAAGAACACCAGGGGCTGTCAGGAGGACCAGCAGTGGGGCCAGGTGTCAGCTATGCTGCCATGATGTTTATGGGCAGGGGTGCATCTGCTTGACCTGTGTACCAACTGCTGCCATATTCCTTCGTTCCTTATTATCTCTGACCTTGTGGGCTGTCTGTGTAGTGTCTTCCCATCAATTACCCGTGGGACTAGTTTTGATTCCCAGCTTTGGCTTTAACAGCCTGCGGGCCCCATTCTCCCGTGCACGGAAGTCAGGCCGATTGGCCTAGGGATGGGGGGGGGGGGCATAGGAATACCCTATATCCCATTATGCTTGTACGAAGGTAGCCATTCCTAACAGTGACGATGTTACTGCCTTTATAGCTCTTACAATAAAGTATAACCTTATGACAGGGGTGTACTCCTTTGTTTGGCTGTGGAACCTGACACTAGAAGCCCTCCCACTGTTGCCCCCCCCCAAGCACCAAGAATACGGAACATCCCTTGCCCCAGACGGAGAGTTCCTATTGTTGCACTGGAGGTGGTGTAGAAGTTCTGCCATGATTCCCCATTCACACATGGGAGTATCAGGCGCTGAGGGGCACGGCAGGTTGAGAAGGATAGAAGAGTCTGAAGTTAAACCCAGGATCAGTCATGAGATCATGTCAGGCTCTGGTCAAATGTCAGTATTCTGGAGGGGAAGTCTCACGCTAGGCGGAAGTGTGGTTGAAGTCAAGCCAGCGCTCAGAATCCATAGAACAGTTACCTTGCCCTGGCGTCGCCACATAATTAGTGAACAGGGTGGTGACGGAAAGTGCCATGAGGTCACAGCCAACTTACGGCAACCTCATAAGGTCTTCAAGGCAAGAGGTGGTTTTGCCGTTGCCTGCCTCTGCGTAGCAACCCTGGAACTCCTTGGTGGTCTCCCATCGGAGTACTAGCCAGGGCCGGCCATCCTTCGCTTCCGAGATCTGGCGAGATGGGGCTAGCCTGGGCCATCCGGGTCAGGTTAGTGAACAGGGACAGCATATCGTTTCTTCCACCTCTAAGCCTTTCCTGACTCTTCAGAAATGGCCTTTGTGTTGAGTGAGTGGTAATAACTTAACTTGGGCGGGTGGTAGAAGTGTTCTTACGTTACGGAGCTGCTTTTTCCTGCGTCAGACGATCGTCCTGCCTAGACCAGAACGACTGACTCTGACTGGCAGAGCCTCTCCAAGGGACTCAGGCAAAAGTCTTTCTCAGGCCTCCTTTCAGCTGAATAGGCCTCTGGCTGAACCTTCTGTATGCAAAGTATGTATTTTCCCACTGCAGTCCCTTTCTCCAAGCAGCTTTTTTTATTGTATAAGCCACGGTGTTTATGAGTGTTTACGAATCTCCACGTTCAGAGGCACCAGGGGTCATTTCGTAGAAGAAGAGGTGCAGGAGCTCATTAGCATACCTTATTTGCATATGCCACACCCCCTGACATCACTGGAAGTGTGTCAGAAGGCAACCCCCGCCGCTCAGGCTCCACTGGACTGTTTTGGATTGCTAGCTCTTGGGGGGGGGACATGCAGATCTGCCCTCGCAGAGGAGGGGGAGCTTGTACTTGAAGGTAGGCCGGGGGGGCTCTGCAACTTACCTGGCTGCTTCTTGCTCCTCGTGGCCCGACTGAGGGCTGCTGGGAGCAGGGGGCGGGGCTTGTGGCATGTGCCCACCCCCTGGGCTCCTTACTGCCAGAGCTCCACTCCTGTGTGCTCCCACAGGAAATGACCCCTGATAGGCGCGACAACTCTGAATCCCAGAGCCAGGAGGCAACACCGGGGGAAGGCCTCGGCCTCTGGGTCCTGTTGTTGGCCATCCAGAGGGAACCGGTTGGCCACTGTGTGAGACAGGACGCTGGACAAGATGGACCACTGGACTGATCCAGCAGGGATCTTCTTATGTTCTTATAGACAACTTTAAAAGGGGATTAGACAGATTCATGGAAGACAGGTCTATAAGAGGCGACTAGCCATGGTGACTGAGGGGAACCTCCACATTCAGACAGAGGCAGGCGACCTCCCAAGAGACAACATCTCTTGGGAGGCACCATCAAGGGAAGGCCTCAGACACTCTGCTCTGTGCCAGGAGGCAGCATCCAGGGAAGGCTCCGGTCTCTGTGCCCTGCTGTTGGCCCTCCAGAGGAACTGGTAGGCTGCTGTGGGAGACAGGAGGCTGGACGGGATGGACCCTCACTGGTCTGATCCTGGAGGGCTTTTCTGATGTCCTTATAAGTGACTGGAGAATCAGTAGAAGATTTTTCTTGTCATCTTCCCCCTTTGCCAGAGTCCAGGACTCGTGCCTCGATAGCCGTTTCGTCCTTTGACCACTCCACGCCGTTCAAGAGGCCCCACTCCACCATCTCCAACAGCAGCACCTCCTCCTCGAGCAGCCAGTCCTCCTCGTCCATCCTGGGCTCACTGAACCTGCACGTGTATTCGGCGCCGTCTCATCCGGGCTTAGCTGGACCACCCTTCTACCACTGGACGCACGACGTCAGGCCCTGCATCGAGGAAGACGAGCTGGAGCAGGAAACGGGAAGCCAGCCTTCCATGAGTGAGTTATGGGGCAACCCCTGGATCAGGGGAGAGTGCAGTGACGATGGCCAGTTATCACTTGCAGTCTAGCAGAGAGGGTTGTGCCGTGCTAAAGTCTGATTGATTGATTGATTGATTGATTGATTGATTGACGGAGATTTCTATCCTGCCCTCCCCTGCAAGTGGGTTCAGGGCCAACGCTCCCTCTAAGCTGTGGAGTCTCGTGAGCCAAAATTCTACTTTGTGAGCGACTGGCATTAAAGTGGTGAGTGAGCCATTTGGCTCCTGCATAAATTAGTCCGCTCAGGAGCCATCCCTCCTGAGCTAAGACAAAAATGCGTGAGCTGGAGGTTAAAACACTGTGAGCTTGCTCACGCTAACTCAGCTTAGAGGGAACACTGCTCAGGGCAGGTTACAGTGAACGCAATAAAACAGATAAAACAATGTCCACATCGCTCAAGTTAAAACCAAAGCCATCATTTAACAAATGATGGCAAGCTAAAATTCAACAGAATCAATAGGATCCCGGGAGTGTAGTGCAGACATACATGGGAGACCCACGTAGCAGCAGGTGGGCCCAGGTCATTCCCTGGGCATAAGTTGGTACAGTGCAGTAATATAGGTGGAGCAGGGCAGGGCAGGCCGATGTAATCAGGCGCCCACCACCTCAACCAGAGGCCTGGTGGAACAGCTCCGTCTTCCCAGCCCTGTGGAATGGCAATAAGTCCCGCAGAGCTCTGACCTCAATTGGAAGCCTCTTCCACCAGGCTGGAGGCTAAACGAGTGTCTTTGGGGCTGGGGACTACCAGAAGATGTTGTCCAGCTGAGCAGAAAGCTCTTCGGGGAACATATGGGGAGAGGTAGTCCTGTTGGTCCCGGACCACACAGGGCCTTAAAGGTTAGTACCATAACCTTGAACCTGAGCCGGTACTCAACCGGAAGCCAATGCAGCTGGTGCGCCCACAGGGACATCCCAGTCAGGAGGTGCGCCGCTGCATTTTGTACCAGTTGCAATTTCTGTGATAGGTTCCAGGGCAGCCCTGCGTAGAGCGAGTTACAGTCATCCAAACTGGAGGAGACCCCTGCATGGATCACCGTGGCCAAATCATGGGTGGGGGGAGAGGGGACCGGTTGCCTGACCAGCAGAAGATGGTAAAAGACCCATCTGGCAGCCTTCGTGACCTGGGCCTCCACTGACAGCAAGGCATCCGGGATCACTCCTGGAGTCCTCACCGTTGGCATCAACGATGCCCCACCAATGGTTGGGCATTGGATACCTGATCCCACCCCACCGCAAGTCAGGCAGAGGACCTCCATCTTTGATGGATTTAATTGCAACCGGCCAGCCACAGCCTCCAGTGCCCTGGCTAGAATATCTGGGGCACAGTCCAGCCATCCGTCCGTTAACAGATAAAGCTGGGTGTCATCAGCATACTGGTGGCAACCCAGCCCAAACCCCTGAATTAACTGGTGTGATGTTAGCAGCTGGTGTGTTGCGGTTTACAAAGGGCTGGCGCCTTAATCCCAGACGTGTGTGTGTGTGTGTGTGTGTGTGTCCGTGTCCCTGGAATTCCTGTTGAACAATAGGCTGATAGCAGCCTCTAAAGCCTCTGGCCTCTTCCTTCCTGTTTCCTGCAGTCACCGAGAGCTCTGAGTCATCCCAGTGCACGTCAGGTGAAAGTCTGTGTGGGTTCAGCGGCTTGGCCCAGGCTGGGTTCTCCTCGCTCCCTACAGAGGCGTTTCCGGATGAAGAAGGCACCCCCAGCCCCGGGTCCAAGCCGCCGTCACAATGCACATCGCCCGCCCTCTCGGAGAAGAGCCCCAGATCCAAGGCCAGCCCTCCGTGTCTCACAGATGTAAGCATCTCATCAAAAACAAATAATGATCATCACAGGGAAGAGAGACGGCAGCTTAAATGTTTTGCCATTTGATTGGTCCATTGCCACTTGGGGGCTTTAAGGCTCCACTTCATCACCACATTCAAGTGGATTCAAGCCCGGTGGCCCCTTAGATTTTGGGGGGGGGGAATAGCTTTTGTGAGTCAAATTCACCTGATTGTCCCATTTGCTGAAGGTGTCAGGCTCCCAGTCAAGTTACTCTCGACAACACTCTCTTTGGCAGTGATATGTTTATTGAGATATATGCATGATCCAGAACATCACTTGTGTTAGAGCGGAAGTATTTTGGTGGGCATATGCTTCATAGGGGTCGTTCAAACAGATCCCTCTTCCCTTCCCCCATGTACACACGTCACAAGCACCCGCCTAGCGTTGCCATCTCAACCAAAAGGAAAATACATGGTTCGCCTATCTACTGCTAAAGCTGGTACCAGAAGCTTCAAGGACACCTTTCCCTGGGAAATGGATAGGAGGCACACCTTGCAGGAAAAGTTACGATGCCTAAAAGCAAAGGTTCTCACTCTCTCAACACACCCACCCACCTCCCTTCCCCGTAGGAATTCCCTCCCCCCAGTAAATATGACAATCCAAGCAAGCGAAGCGAAGTGAGGTTTGACAGAAGGGAGCTTTGAATCCCAACAGCTTATACCCCCGAAATCTTGTTGGTCTCTGGGGTGCTACTGGACTTGAATCTAGATGTCCTACATGGTACAGTAACCTTTTAAAATGAAGTCAAAACCCAGGTCAGATCCATCCATTCATTGCACAGTGGTGGTTTCCGAAGCATCAACATTCAGAGAATATTTTTTTTGTCTTGGTGTCTGTTAAGGGACCTCTGAATTCCTGCCACGTTTGCAGAGGATTCCGGGGCATGTTCTGGAGTACACAGTTCACACAACACTGGCCAGGCCTGCCAATGCAGCTTAGAGCACCTCCAACATTCTCTGTAGCTGTGCGTTGCAGAGAGAAGATTTGCGGTGGCTGCTATGTGGTCTTTCAAATAAGTTGGTCCACTGTCACTAATCTTTTTGGTGATTAACTTCCAAGGAACTTAAGCAACTCTGTTTGAAAGCCACTGATCCACGCAAACAGACAGACATTTCTACACATTTTCAAATCCTAACAAAATCACAAATGACGCATCTCCTCCTGTTGCTGCATTTCCTGGTTTGCTCTCACATCACACAGCCATGAAATGCCCTTCAGTTCTCTACACAGGGCAAACAGGTCAAATCCCGTGTCAAAGGATAAATGGACACAAATCTGACATCAGGAGTCACAAAACTGAGAAACTTGTCAGAGAACACTTCAGCCTTCCAGGACATTCAACGGGGGACCTCAAACTAGCTCTTTTATTGCAAAGGAACTTCAGAAACAGCCTAGAACAGGAGATTGCTGAGTTACAAGTTATTACAACACTCAGGACAATAGAACCACCGGGGCTTAACAGAGACATTGGTTTCTTATCTCACTACACATGCTAACATCATGAGCGTTTATTATGCAGTATGCTAATTTGCTGCTATTCACAGGTGTTACCAATTGCTGTCATGCTCAGTTACTTATGCATCTTGACTCTAATTGTCCCTTCCTGGCAACATCCTTCCCTCCCTCTACCTACATGTAATCGTTGGTGTCTTCTGTTACAAGTGTGCGTGCACACGAAGGTTTAAGCCCAGAATAAAACTTTGTGGGTCTGAAAGGTGCCACGGGACTCAAAACTTTATTCTGCTGTTTCAGACCAACATGGCTACCTACCTGAATCTTATCTTAGCATGTGTAGTGAGATAAGAACCCAGTATCTCTGCTACTCCCTGAGGGTTTCAATGTATCTGAAGGGGTGTGCCTGCACACGAAAGCTTATACCCAGAATAAAACTTGGTTGGTCTTCAAGGTGCCGCTGGACTCAAACCTTGTCCAGCCTCCTCTCCTGACTTTCCCTTCTCCTTCTGGCTCAATTCCCTCAGCAACAAATCCAGAGAGCAAAAGTAAACCCTGGGACCCTGCCCATTCAAAAGCGGCCGCTCACCTGTCCTCCCTAACCCAGAGAAGTCACCACAGTTTCCCACAAAGGAATGGAAGCTTCCCAGCATGCTCCAGGGCAAAGCAAGTACCTCAGTGTCCTTCCCGCCTTGTTCAGTCTGGAGAGTGTTTGTAGGACTTGGAAGTGCCTGAGCCAGACATGGAGCGGCAGCATGGCTAGACCTCCATAGTGGGCACAACCTGGCCTAGGGCTGGCAGAAGGTCTGGCCCGAATTTTCAGTTGCCTTTTCAAGACCTCCAGTGGATGGAGGGGCTAACTTCTCAGGGGGAGGAGCCATATTCTAGGGGACAGGCAACTTTTTTTGCTCGTCCTGCCTTGAGGTTTTGCCCTTCACTTTTCCCGTGTGTCCAGCAGACCATCTAGAGGTACAGGCAGGCTCTTCCCCCGATTGGCCAGGGACCACCTTCTGCTCCCTCCAGGTACTGGGAGGTTCTTTGTGTCATCCCACCAGCCCCCCCCCCCTTGTGCCAGGCGTGACCTCTGAGGTCCCAGATCTGCCCCTGTGGTCTCAAGATCCTCCGGACATCTGGCAATCGTAATCCCACCAAAGTGGAAAACGAAATCCCACAGATTTCAAAAGGAGAGTGTGAAATGAATGAGACATAAAAGGGCTGCATTTGGGCTGCTCTTTCTGTACTACCTTCAGTCATTCAGAGCACAGTGTACCCGGCAAACCAACCGCACAAATAGCATTTGCTTTTCGTCTTGTGGGACGGCACGAGCTGGACCCGATCCTCAGCTGCTGGTGGTCATCTGTAGCCTCTGTTGGTGATGGAATGACCAAGAGAGGATGAATTCCAGGTACTTCCTCATTAAGACAGCGAAGTACTGATTTGTGTGGCGACTGTCTTCTGTTGCTTCTCTTAAAGGATTGGCCAAGTTTTGACTGAAGTTACCTGATTGGCCCCTGTGTGACACAGAATGTTGGACTGGATGGGCTATTGGCCTGGCCCAGCACGGCTTCTCTTATATTCTTACCTTAAGCTGAAGCTTCTTTATTGCTGCAGAACCCAATATACAGTACATGCTTACATCATCACCTTTTACAGACTCTAAGGTTATGTTACTGACAGTGCAATCCTAAACAGACTTACACCCTTCTAAATCCATTGAGGTCAATTGGTATAACTTTAGCGTATAACTTTGCTTAGGATTACACTCTTAGTGAGTGAGAGTCCTGGTCAACAGGGAAGTATTACAAAGGTTAAAAAAATGGATTAGAAGTAGAAGGTGGATGGTTTTTAATAAGAAGTCATGCTGATTTTAATTAACTTTCCCTCCCTTTTCTGTCAGAACAAAACCTCTTATACATTAGGCCTTTCAACCATGGTTTGACACACAGACAGTACCTTCAGTAAGTAAAGCTTTATGCCAAACTGATCTATTTAATGAAAGAATACTAGGCTGATTCTAATTTGCTAAAAAAAATCAATAACCAATCATATTAGGGCATGAGAACATTTTGACTTGCATGCTCTAAGAGTATTGGAGAAAATGTTGAATATTAACTTCTGTTAGTAGAAAAGAGCAAGAGTCCAGGAGCACCTTACAGTCTAACAAAATTTGTGGCAGGGGAGGAGCTTGCGTGAGTCACTGCTCACTTCTTCAGATATCAATCAATCAGTTTATTACGGTCAAAGACCCATCAGACAGCATACAGAATCAAAAATAGTCTCCAGATTATTGTAAAACATTACAAAGAGGGGGGAAAACAAACAAACAAACAACCAAAACAAACATCTCAAGGAGTATTAAGGAGATGCTTACGCTTTGTAATTGCAATAAAAAGAAATTTAGCAACATTCCTTGAAATAGCCGTGGATTTGTCCTCCAGTAGGTGTTTCACTTCTTCAGATACACTACCTGAAGAAGTGGATGATGACTCACGAAAACTCATCCCTTGCCACAGATCTGGTTAGTCTGTAAGGTGCTACAGAACTCTTGCTCTTTTCTACTGCTGCAGACAGACTAACACAGCTACCCATCTTGAATTAACTTCTATTGTAGCTGAATTCCCCTCCCTGTCATTACTTCTCTAAATGGTTCTTCTCTCCGTTCTTAGAAATTGGCCTGTGGGGTTTTCCAAAAATGCTATCGCTGCAATATGGCCCGCAGTTGCCTTGGATAGACATGGTCTGGAATGGCATACAGGTTTCTGGAGTGTGATAAATATACACAGATAAGCCTCAAAGGAAAGACAACAGTCAAGAGGCACAATCCGTAGGAGATTCTTGGGCATGAACTCCCTCCCTCGGGGCTTGCACAAAAGGACCTCTGGATGGATTGTGGCATAGGACCATCACAATCACAGTGGCAGGGAACTCACAGGGAAAGGCGGTGTCTTAGTCACATGAGCCTTCTGTGATTTAACATTACCATAGGTTAAAAAACAGCTTCTTCAACTGTCCCCAGAAGGCTACAGGACACTAATCTAGATAACGTATGAACGGGAAACCAAACCCTGGCAGGTGAAGGGGAGCCTGGCATTGCTCGTGGCAGGAAGTGGTGCCAAGTCACAGCCAACTTATGTTGACCCCGTGAGTTTTTCGAGGCAGGAGGCACCCAGAGGCAGCACTCCTCGTGGGCACTCCATGAAACTGCAGAGCGGTCGGGTTAGAACGGATAAAAGGAAGTACTTCTTCACCCAAAGAGTGATTAACACATGGAATTCACTGCCACAGGAAGTGGTGGGTGCTACAAGCATGGACTTCTGTGATTTAACATTACCATAGGTTAAAAAATAGCTCCTTCAACTGTCCCCAGAAGGCTACAGGACACTAATCTAGATAACGTATGAACAGGAAACCAAACCCTGGAAGGTGAAAGGGAGCCTGGCATTGCTTGTGGCAGGAAGTGGTGCCCAGTCACAGCCAACCTATGTTGACCCCGTAAGGTTTTCGAGGCAGGAGGCACCCAGAGGCAGTTGGCCATGGCCTGCCTGTGCGCAGCAACCCTGGGCTTCCCTAGGAGGAAAGGTTAAAGCGCTTGG